CTTTCATGCCACTCTTCCTCTACTTAATAAGTATTTTACATAAGATACTACTTTTCTTATCTAAGATACACATAAAGATGCCACATATTTTAATTATTTAGATAAAAATAAAATAAAACAATTATTACATGTAGATACTTCTATCTTTTATTTAGATAATAAAAAATCTAAGAGATAGAGATAGATAATTTTAGAGATAATTTTAAATATATTTTTAAAGATAATTTTAAAAACAATTTTATCCAGATAATGAAAAACGCTGCTCAACATATGCAGACAATCTTCAGAAAGTTCGATTAGTTTGACACCGTGATTAGTGCGCTCATCCGAAAAACACAAATCGCTAATTTTCTTTTGCTTTACCGATTCTAGAATTTCTTTGAAAGTTTTAAATTACACATAAATAAAATTAATGTAATTTTGAAACAAGAAACTTACTTTTTCAATAGAAGAACAGGCGCCAAGTACACGCACAACACGTATTGTATTGTCTTTAAAAAACCTGTTTTACAAAAGAAAAGATATCAAAAGATAGCACCAAGTAATCTTTTGTGTGTTCGTTATTATATAAAAAAATAAAAAAATAACAAATAAAAACTAAAAAATATTTAATGCAAATAATATTATAATTTTTACTGATAAAAATTTATTGATTGTGAAAGATTGTAAAAAATTGAAAAAGAAACTTCTGTATGTTTAATTAAATAAAACAATATTGTGTACTTATTATGTCAGACTTACGCGTATGTGTCTAATAAACACAGTTTAGTTCACTATTTGAGATGCAGCCGCGCCAAGTTTTTTTGGATTAAATATTTTTTATTTTTTATTTGTTTTTATTTAAAAAAAAATTTTTTTTATTTAATAACGAACAAAAGTTTACTTGGTGCTACTTTTTGATATTATTTTTTTTGTAAACCAGATTTTTTTAAAAACAATACGTGTTGTACTTGGCGCCTGTTCTTATCTTTTTTTGAAAAGATAAATTTTTTGAGATATTACACATTTTGTAGTATATATGTTGTAGTTTAAAAAATACATCAAAATGGAAAACAAATATTCACATCATCAACCAAGTTTTAAAATAGTTTTTCGGGGTTACAGGCGGGAGGTAGCGGGGGCTCCCTCCTGCCATTGCACGTAACCTATGGAGTTAGGTAGAGAAGTGTGGTGGTCCCACTTCTTCACACCTAGTTGAAGGTTGAGGGAAGATGAACTGTTACCATCTTCCCTCAGGACATGTATAAGGGAGGGAGCCGCGAGGTCATAGCCTTCGGGTTTTCCAGGCTCCCTCCTGAGTGTCGGAGGACCGCCGAGGAGTTTTAGTGGGTAACCCCTCTTTGGGGAGT